GTCTTTTTTCAGACATGTAATATGGCTTTCGCTTCTCTAGGTCAAATGCTGATGTATTAACAATTATTGCCGAAAGAGACTATCGAGCTTTCGAGAAGAAGTGTGAAGCTCGGGCTGTTACACCTTTTGACACCTCGAAATCATTTGACAAGTTTTGGCATTTTGAACTATTTCAATCTGTTTTCTTATCTAATCGCAAAATGAAAATTGTTTTGAATGGCCACTCTTTACACTATTTACATTATTCGGACTATTGTCCTCGTTTTTTTGTCGCGATATTTATTACAACGTTTCGGCCTTCTTCAGGTGGTTGGAAAATCGAAGTAAACCGTTTATTTCGCTCACTGCGGTAGACTGGTCTAGTTCCACCTGGCAAGTCTCATGGATGTCAGTTATCAGTTATCTCGTGTTAATTCCCCTCTCCAAGTTTTCCACCGCCTTAACCATGTATTGAACACTCTTTGAGTCCTTTCACTTGATCTAACCAATGCCTTTATCCACTATGCTTGAGGACATCTGTGTATGAATTTCTGGGTATTATAAACCTAATGTCTTCAGTAAACATTTTTTTTAACTGTGCTCATATTGCAATTTTTGCTGTTATCATTCCATGTTTTACCAGAGCTCATATTGCAATTTTTGTTGTTATAATCGCTTTTCTCTGGCACTCCTTATTACTGCTTCCCATATTGTATTCATTTCTATGCTTGGTCGGCTCAGGAGATTTTTTTGGCCTAGGATAAAAGCGTTGGTTAGATCCAGTGACAGGACCCAAAGAGTGTGTGTTCAATACCTGGCATTAGACATAGTACACGGAACTAGAACAGTCTACCCCAGTGAGCGAAATAAAGGGTTCAGTTCGACATTGCAACTACTCGAAGAAGGCCGGAGCGTACAACGGCCGAAACGTTGTAATAAATATGGCACCATAGATGAGGACAATAGTCTGAATAATGTAAATAGTGTGCATAATACCTCATCTCAGAAATACATACAGATACTGATGGCCACACTTCTCGACGTTTTTGTACTAATGCGTGTAACATCCAAGGATTTCTCTTGTTCTTAATTTTACTCAACGACCTTCCGGATATCATTTCTCAGCTTTATATCTATGCTGATAACATAACCCTTTATTCTTGTCTCTTGTCTAATCGGTTCGATATGGTGAAATTGGCAGGTGATGTAAAAAATAATCTATAGTCTGTTGTTAACCGGGGCAAGGAATGGTTCGTTAATCGAAAACGAAACTTCTTTCTATTAACCACCTGAAAGATCCCTTCCTACCTCCAAACCCCTAAACTAATCGAATAGAACATTCTCAGCTGATATGAAGTGGAAAGAATATATTGAATTCATTGCGAGGTCTGCTGCTAAGAAAGTCGAGTCATTATTTTGTGCCAGACCATTTTTCTTTCCAGAATCTATCTTGCATATTTATAAGTCTACCATTCGTCCATACTTTGAATATTCCTACCACATTTCGTCCGGTGCTCCCGCTGTATATTTAGAGATTCTGGATAAAGTCCAAAGGAGAATCATCAATATTATTGGTCCTGACCTGGCCTCTCAGCTTCAGTGACTTTTCCCCGCCGTAATGTAACTCCTTTGTGCCTTTTCTATAAATACTTTCATGGTAATTGTTCCGATGAACTCTTTTCGCTATGCTACCTAGACTTTATGAATTTAAGAGTAGTACTAAATAGGCAACAAGATCTCATCAATTCACATTTGAATTTGTTAGATTTAAGCCTAAGTTCTATCATAACAGTTTCTTTTATCGCACTTATTGAATGTGGAACTCCCTTCTGGTTCCATGCTTCTCATTCAGTTGATCTTCAAAAATGTAAATGCAATGTCAATCGTTATCTACAGTCTTCCTGATTACTCTTCTATTCTAATGCTTCTGTTTTTCTTATACTTCCACACTCACTGACCCCTTATGTCTTGGTGGCTTTACTGCCTTGCATTTGCTGATATGATTGTTAAAAGAAATCTGTTTCTATTTTGTAAATGTTAAAATTTACTTCATTTTAAGACAATAGGACTTTTTCTTGTCACATGACCTAATTTCGGCTAAGGCGAATTTTCTAAAGATTTTCCAATCACCCTTCGGTGTTTTAATTCAACGTGCCCACGACAAGGTCAGGTTGATCTATCGATAGGCAGTGAAAACAGAATGAAATAATAGGAGGTACTAGTGTTATAACAAATGCACGCAGGTACGGGCTTTAAGAAAGCTTTATTCAACTGAGAATACAAGGTTCGCGTATAGTGTCTTTTTATAGTCCCAGTAAACAGAAATAGCTCTCTTAAAGAGAAGAGTAACATAACAAGAGGAGACCACTTTTGATTTTGATTATTTAGAACATCTAGTTAATGGAACATTCGTAAAATATAGGGAAATATTTTTGGTAGATTAGTATTCATTACACCTTCCCTAAGGCACAACATTTGTCATGTGTATTGGAAATTTATCCTTTTTGGAAGGAAAGATCGGATCATAAAATCGACACAGGGTAAAATCAGTCCTTTATTTCTTAAAGAGATTTTCTACTTAGTTTTTTTATTATTTACAAATGTCAAGTTTAAGTCAGTGTTTGCGTTATTGATATCTGCGTACGAAAACTGATAATTTTTTAACAAATAGATTCGTTTTAAATAAATATCAAACTAATATGTACATAGTTTAAACAAGCAATTGTTTCTCAGATGAATTTTTTTAATTTGTATATATCCATTTATACTTTAAAATATTTATATATTCCATTATTCGTTAATTAAGAATATATCTATCTTAAAATAGATAAAATAAAAATGTATATATATATATATATATCTTTAGAACAATTTTTGTAAAACATGTAATAAAATCTATTTCGTCTGACAAAAAATTGTTCGTTTAAAATATTTTCTTAAAAAGAAAAGAATGGGTTACATTATTTTTGTACCTTATTTTTGAAAAATGTTGTACCGCATTTAATAAATTTTGTACCCCGTTTTTGATTTTGTACCTCATTTTCTTTAAATTTTTACCCCATTTTTTTAAAAATTTTGTGCCACATTAGTTTTTAACTTTCTACCTCATTCTTTAAAATTGTGTAACTCATTTTTTTTTTAAATTTTGTACGTCATTTTGTAAAATTTTGTACCGCATTTTTAAAATTTTGTACCACATTGTTTTTTCATTGTTACAAAGAGCAATTTCGGATTATGGATAAAAACGATTACAAAAAATATTTCTAAGTTTTTTTAATCAGAGCTGTTGGGGGATAATATGAATAGTGTTTTGAGGTACCGCACCAGGTAACACCAATCCTTGTGAGGAAACTGAAGAACTGTTTACATCTTAACTAATACTATCCAATCACTGGGCATGAACCATCGACACCTGAATATTTGTGACACAAATTGGGTCCCCGAAAAGGTTTTAAAAGTCTGTCGCCAAAATGTCACACTATTCACTTTATTCAACAAACCTGAATTTCAAGTGACACATAAGAATTGTGACAATGACGAAAGTGGTATTACCTTTGGCTGTCATCCAACCAAAACATTTTAGTCAGAACAAAAACTTTATTTTGGTTATAAATGTTTTTTATCAAAATGTTAACACCCATTTCACATCGAAATTAACGAAATCATATAATTAACTGAAGAGCGGTCGCCCAAATAGAGAGTGCAAGTGTACCAACTGAGAATCGAACCAAACGGTTTACAGGTTTAACCTGTTCACAATCGATACGCCCTTTAATGCCAGCTCAGTCTACGAGTACTACCTGCCATATATCCGGGTCCATCAACGACTGAACCGATTCCCTTCCAGGCTTTTTTGATGCTGAAAGGGGCTAAACACGTAGCAGGATTACAAAGGAAGAATAGGCCTTTTGGCAGGTTTGATTTGATTGATTCATTTTTACGGGATATCAACCCTTTTCCGGTTATGTAAAGACAGTAAAAATATTTTTTTTTAGATTCTAAGAGTTTTTTTTTTTTAAATTTTAGATAATACTTTAGAGATACAAGTCGTACTAATTAACCCATAGCTGAGGGGAGAAGAGGTGGATTTATACATTTCCCAAGGGTATTTATGCGTAAGTGAAGATAACGAATCTAACTTAAATTGGAACTCGACTTTCCAATTATCAATTTCGAGCCATTATTCATTACGCCACGCGTACATCCAAACTTACAGCTCCTGGTATACCCAAGCGGTAACCCATCTAGGTAGTGATCGAGCTCAACGTTGCTTAACTTCGGAGATTGCAGGGTTAATGTGACTCCATGCAGCCAGTTTGCGTGATAATACGGCAACGCTGGACGGAGCGATTCCAAGACTGACGGCAGAGAAGTCTAGGGTTCTCTCGATGCAATCAACGGCTAACGTATCCGTGACCAAGGCAACCCATCAAGTTGGAGAATATTGGCTGTGATTTGGCTTGGAGTGGGGGATGGGTTCCGCCAGGTTTACTTGTCCCTGAATAAATCCCCAGATATGTGAAGTAAACTCACTAGTTGCTCAGATGCGCAGCGACCCTGCAACCAGATCCGTTTATGATTGTGATGATGAGGTTGATTAATTTAAATTATTTCCATCAACACTAGACAACTAAAGATCAGATATTTTAAAACTTAACTTAGATTCGTACAGGGACATAACAGCGAAATACCGAGTGAGGATCGAACTCATTACACTAACAAAGATTTCTAAACCTTCGCTCAACAACAGGCGCCAATATAATGAGACGTTATTTCACGAATCCGGAAAAGCAGACAAAATATGCAGAGTGCGCATGCGTGAAAATGTTTTCAAACATATTTAATTACAGATCCGAGAGAAGGAATCTGACAAGGCGACCGATTCTCTTGATGCAAACGAAAATTAAAAATAATAATAAAAGCTGTGCCTAAAAATTCTTCGAAATGAGTTTATTTATTTTTTATGAATTGACGAGAGACTCATTTAATGAGGTAAATAAGTTTACCTATTTAAAGCCAGAATGACGTCAGAGTTGCAAAGTGTGGATAAGTGTCTGAAAAGAAAGCGCTTCAAACAAACTGTCACGGTCGAGTCTCATCGACTGGAAAATGTTTCTAAATATAAAAATATATAGCGATACCATTGGTAAGGAAAACCTTTAAATAATATTTAACCTGATTTCATTATCTGTCTGCCTGTCTTTTCATATCTATCTATCTATCTATCTATCTATCTATCTATCTATCTATCTATCTCAGCCTATTCGTATCTATCTATCTCAGCCTATTCAAATCTATCTATCTTTCTATCTATCTCAGTCTGTTCATATATATCTATCTATCTCAGTCTGTTCATATCTATCTATCTATCTATCTATCTATCTATCTATCTATCTATCTCAGCCTATTCATATCTATCAATCTGTCTCAACCTATTCATATCTATCTATCTATCTATCTATCTATCTATCTATCTATCTATCTATCTATCTATCTCATCCTGCTCATATCTATCTATCTCAACCTGTTCATTATCTATCTATCTATCTATCTATCTATCTATCTATCTATCTATCTATCTATCTTTGT